TTTTTTGACAAAAATATCCTCTGAATCTATTGTTCATATACATTTCACTAATTATTAATTAATTTATTATTTTTTTACTCTGATTTAATAAGGACCGTTAGATGATCATATGAACGGTCAAGATCGGGTTAGTAAGTTAGTACAAAATATTGGGTTAGTATTTGAACCACCCTCTATATATATATATATATAAAGATTTATGTCATGTTTTGTAAATTTTTCTATTGAAGTGTTGGTCAAAATATATTTTTAACCTTTTAATTATCAAAGTCATCATTCCTCCCATCTCCATTTTGTATACATATAAAGAAAGATAAAGATATAAAGATATATATATATATATATATATATATATATTACATTTGATATGAAGTGGTTTCATCATTCTCGATTGTTTCTTTTGATACATATAATTAATTAATAAGATCTACATCATCAAACTTTGTAATTGACTCAAAATGATAAAAGAAATGTGTGAGACTAATGATTATAAACATTTGGTGTATAATGAGAATTCTTGTCACAACTTGTAATATATCGATTTATCTCTACATATATTTCATTAAAATATTTGATTTATCATGCAAATTCAGTGTTTTTACCTAGTTTTGCATAATTGTGAGACATTGATAATTTCGTTAAATTTGTTGTAACTAGAGGTGATCATTTACAGGCTTGGGTCAGGCCTAGACCAAGCTTAACATAACTTTTTTATCCAATGGGCCTAATATAGCAAACTCAAGCCCGTTTTTACGGGCTTGTGGACTTGCCCATACCCGCTTTATAAATGAGCCGGGCTTTCCCACGGGATAGCGGACCTATTCTTTTACATTTGAAAAATAAAACATAATAAAATCATGAATTATGTAAAATCATCTAAATTACGTAATTTATTTCCTACATAAAATTAGACCTAAAAGATATCAATGTACATAACGTATGAAAAATAGTTTCACAATAAGAGCATGGACTTTCTCTCCAATGATTTATCAACTTTTAAAGTCTGTGTGCTTTCAATAACAGTAATTTAACTAATAATTCAAGATCGAGATTTGAGACATTTTAGGAAATTATAAATTATGGTATTTTAAGTTAAAATTATAATTAGAGGGCATTTTAGGTATTTTTAAAAAACTCATCTCTCCTCTCTCCGACCTCTTCTCTCCGACCTCCAATCTCCGGCCTCCGGCCAACATTATTCCGTTAGGTACCAATTAATCACAAAGATACACAATGTGATACTCATTGTGATATACTGTGATACTATTGTGATACCAACTCAAACCATAAAAACATGTGATACACCTTGATAAAACAAGCAAAAATAATGAAACCGAACATTGTGATACACTATGTTACACTGTGATCATACTCTCGAGTGTTGAAGGATAGATCGCATCTAACTTTGGATCGTCAAAGATGATGAGACACCCAACGCCCTGATCCATGGTTCCAGCAAACTTCTTGTCCAATATCATCTGAGACAGTTTCTTCACCATGATTTTGCATAGCAGCATATATTTGAGACTGTAAACTGCTCTGGGATCATCAAGAGCATTGAATGCTTCAAATGCTTCAAAG